GGCCAGCATCATGAGCATCAGCTGCATTCGGCTTTCAAGTTCAGGGCCGCAACGGCCAGCATCATGAGCATCAGCTGCATTCGGCTCTCAAGTTCAGGGCCGCAACGGCCAGCATCATGAGCATCAGCTGCATTCGGCTTTCAAGTTCAGGGCCGCAACGGCCAGCATCATGAGCATCAGCTGCATTCCGCTTACAAGTTCATGGCCCCGACGGCCAGCAGCATGAGCATCAGCTGCATTCGGCTTGCAAGTTCAGGGCCGAGACGGCCAGCATTACAAGCAACAGCTGTCACTTTGTCCGCATGGTCGAGGCTCATCTGAGTCTCCCTGGATATCAGGATGTATCTTTTGTAAACGAGACTTCGGGCCCTCAGCCCAACTCCTTGACTATGAGTTATTTACGCAGCAGAACCCGGCGAAACAGCAAAATGAAGTGCCCCGAACCTGAAACGCGCAAACTCCCGGAACCGGTACCCTGGCCCTTGATTCGGATCGTTCTGCCTTTGAAGCTGGCCGGAGGAGGTTGGCCCAATTAAGGAGGACACCCATGCGCGCCGCCTCCTTGCGGGTCCAGGGTTTGCGGCTCTACGGTCCTAGGGTTGCAGGGCTTTTGGTATATTGGGGCTACAAATCCCTAAGCCCGTTTTGAAATCCCCAACCCTAACTATAAAGGGATCATGAAAAGAAAGTGGAGTCTACTGAGTGGTATTTAGCTTTTGGCTTTTGCAAAAAATGAGGCACTTTCAGGGATCCCAGTTATCCATGTCTGTGCGCAACGTCTCCTTGTGACTTTCGCCACTCAGACTTGAGGGTTTAAGGGGTTGCACCGTCTGTTTCACAAATCCAAAGCTATACACGTTCTTCCGGCCACCTTGGCCGGAGCCGCTACAATTGAGCTTCGGCAGGGCGCACTGTCCAAAACTTGATGGAGGGATGGTGGTGGTTTACAGTATTCTCTGTTCTTGCTCCAGCTTCTCACTTGATTTGGAGCATGATGAGCATGGGTGGTTCCGGGCCGGCAGAACTATCTTGAATTGTCCGGGTTTGCGGCGAAACGCAAAACCTTTGACAGGAACCTTCGTCGAAGTAGCCAGGAAGATAAACAACGGCATGTCTAAGCACTGCCAAAACCATCCTTTGTTGCAGTTGGAGTCTCAGCTGCTGTTGCACAAACGCACCGCAATCCACGCCAAACATGTGTTCAAAAGCCCCGCATGCTCTACACATCCCTGTGCTTCTGCTGTAACTCCTGCTACATCATAAAAAGCGCTTCGGCTATGTTTGGCTTATCTGGTCCTTGCAAGGCTAAAGCACCCCGTGTCCCTGACATTGAAGAATCTATTGGGTATTATAATATGTACAAGCGAAACTTGCACTTAGGCAGGTAGTGGACGTTTCCGTGTGAGTGGAGGGATTCAGCTGTGCATCCAAGCAACTGTTCCCAAGGCAGCACGCCAAACCAACCATTGCTTGCTAGGCCAGTCTGCCTAGCCTTGAGCCATGAGAGAGAAAACAGAGACACCTGTAAGATCCAAGGTGTCGTGCTGCGTAGGGCTCCTGAAAGCTCAGAATTGGGCAAATGACGTGGACAAGCTTTTCTTGCGGGCTGCACTTGTTGATATCCTTCTAATGTTTTCTAGAGCCTTGGTGAGAAAAAACAGACTAGCTCACGGAAAGATTTCAGAGTGGACCTTGAAGACGTGACACAGAACCCTGAACCCAACTCAAAACATCGGCATATGCCTGCTGCAACAGGAATCTTATGTCACAGTCTCGGGAGAGGGACGTCTTCAACCATGATCCTTGTTCTCAAATCACGCAATGCCTAAGCATGCTATGACAGCCCTTAACACTCGCATGGAATGGAGCTCCCGTACATCCTGATCCAGGACCCTGGCGACAAGCAAGCCTTAAACCTCTGAACCCTTTTGCTGCAGACTACTCTAACCCCGGAAGCCTAGACCCCATCCTTTAAAAGCTTCGCTGCTTTGCCAAGTCCGGCTTCGCGGCACCACGAGCGGCTCAGCAGCCAGTCTCGCGCTACCAAACCCCAAAGAGCTCACGACTCCCTAATTCTGGAAAGTGCCTCCAATCGTTCATACAATGGATCTCCCGTCTATCATCTGAATCTGAAAGTTAGGCGTCTTGGGCTCTCCAAGGCTTGTCCTAAGCCTACATGAGCCCCAGACAACAGGGGGGCCATCGAAATCCTCTTGCATAATTCCGACAGGAATCCCCATGTACGGGCTACTTAGTCAGGGACTCACACGGTGCTCGTTGCTTTGCTGTACTACACAAGCTGCAGCATCCACCTCCTGGCACTTGCCATTCTGCTGCTCAGGTGTCTACGCGCGCGACTCGGAGGCCCCTGTCAATTTCCCTTGTTGGGGCCAAGGATTCACGAACACGAGGACTGACCCCACACAAGATGCACCTTACTGCAATGTACAGAAACCGATTCATGGCGTTTGATCTCTCATTCCATGGTGCTAGGTTGAGGTCTAGATTCTAGATGCTTAATACACAGACCTTCGTCCATACAGGCCGAGAAAAACCCCTCTGGGAAAAAACTGGCCGCACTCTGGTGAAAGTTGCGCAATACAAGCCCTACACCTTCTGTCATGACATCAGGACCCAAGGTGTGGGGAGTAGGGTTTAGGGTCGAGGGGCGTTGCTTTGGAATCTTCAACTTGGCTCGATCTTTGGTCTTCTTACTGCAACCCCAGACCGCAGCCGCCCCAATCTGGCGGGGAAAGGTGCAAAAAGGCCTTCGAAGCCACCCCAGCAAAGCACTTCACCCACCTATTACTAGCCAGAAGCTCGCATGACTTTGCGCATAGGTGCTCTCTTGAACCCGTGGCAGATCCAAAAGGTAATTGCTCTAGACAGCTCTCTTTGGTGTGAAATGCGGCCCTCAAAGTTATGAATTCCATTTTGGTTTCCTGCACCATCCCTGCCAGGGTACGCACAAAAGTTATGAGTTCGCTGTAGCGTCGCTTGCCAAGCTAATCACAATACCTTGGAGCAGATTGAAGGGCCATGCCTTCAGCGTACAGTGTCCTTGCAGGACTTTCTTTTTTACTGACCACTTAGCTGGCCTACTTAATCTAAATCCTAACCTGGTTCCTTATTGAGATTGTATGAAAACTTGTACTGTCATATTCCTCAATGTTGCGCTGGCTTTAGGGAAGGGACTTTGAATGATGGATTTTGGCCGACGCTTAGTCAATTTCAGGCCATTGTTGGAATTACCTTGAATAACGTGAATGATTTTGGGGCCCTCAAAATACAGGACAAAAGACTACTCCTTTTAAAGTAATCAGGGTACCCGGGGCCCTCAGCACCATGGGAGCCTTCTTGAGGACGGCTCATTTCTTTTTCTGGACCCCTATAGATACTACGGGCGGAGTGTAGAGTTCAAAGAGAGTGCAACATTATTGGGTTTGGCCTAACATACATCAACAGTCTATACCAAACAATGACCCAGTAGCCCCAAATGCCTAATCTCAAATCCCTGAGACTGGGCGGAAGGCTGCCAAGATTTGCTGCTTGAAGATGCCGAATCGCCAGCTTCCTCATGTGAAACTTCAGCATGGGTTCTCCTACTGACCCCAGACCACCCCACCCCCAAGACTCCCCTTAACTAGCCTTTCTTAGGCCTGAATAAGCCTAGTTCAGGGACAACCTTAGAGGACTGCATGGGGGGAAGGATTTTGCGTGACAAGTTTGGAGTTGCAAGTGGGATTCTACACGGGACCTGTACAACCTCGCAAGTTTTCAGTTAGGGCGCTCTTTTACTTGCTGGCACTTGAGGGTGACTACCCTATAGCTATCCCTCTATATATATACACACACACCTCGTCTCCACTTGTAAGCTTAGGTGAGGTCTCCAGAATACAGATTGTAGTACTGGAGTATTTTGGGGTCTACATATCGGGGCCTCTCATTTTGGAAGCCCAACACTCTGGTGTTTGAGGGGAAGTGCGAAGTGAACACAAGCAAGATAATTACCAGCGATGTAGATGAGGAGATTGTATAAGCAGTATTCTGAGGATCCCCCTTAAGCACCAAGATATAGATAGTCATGCACACCAGGACATGGACAGTTCTGCACACCGGGCTCTTCCGGGCGAGAATATGCAGAAGGCTCATCAAGGCTAATTACCAATCAATTGCGCGCCCCAAATGCACGAGGCTTCTTACTGTTGAAACTTGCACACTCATTGTCTTTTTAAACTCACCAAAAAAATATACACGAGAATCCATATAGTTGTCCCTAGGAGACCATCTACTCCACTATAAGCCTCCCAAACTTCTTCATGCGGAGAAGTTCCGCCATTTCACTTACTGACGGTTAGTAATCGAGGTAGACCCGACAGTCCATTCCAGCATTTCCAACATCCCTGGTTTGTTCAGCTGTGCTTCCGCTTGGTCAGGTGACGGCGAGGCCGCATCAGATACGGTCGACTTGGCAGCTTGCTGTGCGACCTCCTCCGCTATTTCAGGAGATTATCACCATGGGCCCCTGGGGATGCGCAGGGACTGTAAGATCAATGTGGAGTCCTTTGATTAAAGAGAGGGCATTGTGAGAAACCCCTATTGCTCTTAGATCTCTCTTTCTGTCTGACCTGTGGCATGATCACGGAAAGCGCGTTAATACACGACATTTATTCGCGCTGCTGGTGCTACTTCTCTGTACCCCGTCCAGATCACTAAGATGACTACCCGCACTGCTTCTTTTTCCCTGCTAAATAACGTTATTCCTGTGAAACGTCAATGTGGCAATCCAAAACAGTCGTGAGATCAGAACATGTGATCCTTTTTTGCAGCAGGCTTCTGTCTAGGCACCCGGTCCAAGAGGCACAAGGCATGTGATCCCTTAAAACCCCTTCCTAATCACCAATGCAGTTGTTGTGAACTCTCTAACGAACTAATGCAACTCCTTGGCTGGCCTTGTCATCCCGAGCGGAGACGGGGAAGGCTTCCGCCTGGCAAGGGTTTAGGGAGCAGGGTGCCTGACATTATGAATTTGAAGGTCAGGGTTAGCAATTCAAGGCTTTACAGTTTGGGCTTTGGGTGTAGGATGCAGGCTCCGAAGAAGAAACAAAAACGCGCTCTAAGGATAAGCCCAGGACCAGCTCAGAATAAGAATATTCCGCGGGAATTCACATAGCCCAAGCGATCAGACCGGCTTTAGCAGACACAATTACAAGAAGTACACTAGCCTTGATCGAAAGTTGTAAATATGCAGCAGCTCAGCCGCATTGGCCAATGCAATGATGGAAATGCTGATGCTAACTAGAACTGGGGAATGTCTCTGGAGGTCGGCATTGTTGCAGATAGTTGGAGGTTCGATATCCGTCTGTTCATTGAGGGCGAGGCTCTCGATTCAGATCCCATCTTGACCAAGTATCAAGTAACATCGTAGTTTGTAGTTTTGTTCCATGTTATTTCCATTTGGACTGTCATGTTGTGAGACCGGAGCTGCCTAAGGCAGAAGAGGTCCTCCTTACTGCGCTGCAACAACCAGGCGCGGCAGGTCCTTTGCAAACAAAGCGTGCCAGGTCCACGAGCTGTCGAAGAAGACTGCCAAGATCTCGGCCGAACATCCCATACTCCTCCCTCCTCCACAGGCAGCATGCTACATGGTATGCAGATTGGTTCCTAGCATGTCTGCACCTCAGCCGCTAGAATGTAAGGAACCTTACTTGTGTTCCCGAGACGCACCTCCAGGAGGCGATTGCAGTGTTCACCCAGTTGAAGATGGACACCTGGTCGAGCTCCAGGACCTCCATACAGACGTCAACCGATTTCTATCAAGATGCTCACCTAAAACAAACGGTCAGCAAGGATGTACACCTTAAACCTTTGGATCCACATCCCAAACTCAGTGGCCTCCAGCCCCGGACCCTCTAAGACTCCCCATATGGATGCCCTATCCACCTGGTGCATCATAGGGAATGGAGCAGCCCCTATACAACCCCTACAGTAGTAATACCCTCACGCCTAAACCCCCTAAAGCCCTAAATTACTAAACCCTAAACCCTAAACCCCTAAAACCCTAAGACCCTAAACCCCTAAAACCCTGAAAAACAAATTACCCAGGGAGCCCTAAGCCCAGTCCCTTCACCCAATAAATAGTAGTTTCCATTTTCTTCTCTATTATCCCTAATGTAACCCCAATATATACCCCTATTGCCCCATTATGATGTGGTAGTTTCCATTTTCTTTTCCATTATCCCTAATATAAGCCGAATATACCGACCCCATTATACTATAGTAGTCTCCATGTTTTTTCCATTATCCCTAATATAACTCAATATATACCCTAAACCCCAATTCTGGCCTGGCCAGGTTGGTAGACCCTCGGCTGCAGGCTTTGGTGAGGGCAAATGGGGGGAATGGAAAAAAGAACATGCAAACTACCATTACAGCCAGGGTGATTTGAGGGGCTGAAGGAATGGAAAATAAATGGAAACTATCATAGTTATCATAAATTATATGTACATAGTATCGTGTTACTTAGGTAGGAGTATCTGTCGGCAGCTATAGCGACGAATTCCGTATTTCCCACTAAGCAACGAGCAGTTCTACGGTTTGGCGACTCAAAGTACAGGACAATGCTCTCACTGGTCTTATTTGATACCTTTACGGTACTTCACAAGCCCATTCTTTTCTACGGGAAATTCTGGGTGTTCCCTTGCTCGCGAGGGCAGACAAAGAGCAACCCATCAAGAATTCTACAATTGGATTCAAGTAATGCAACGAAGGCAAGGTTAAAACCACAAAGCCGTTGTGGCTTGTTGAGATAAAAACCTGGGATATCAGGGACGTTCTGCAGGACACGATTCTCTGCGGATATGCCTGGTGCAAGCCATCCTCGTGGCCAGCGGTCACAGTTCAAAGACCATGCCTGCAACCCTGCATTGCAAGGAAGCAGGTGCTACTTCAAGTAATTACAAAACAAACCCAAGCACTGAACCCGTTTAACCTCAACTTCTGCAATGGGCCCTGCAAATGCGACCAGCAGCATGGTACCAGTCTTCAGACGTTTGAGGGCGCCTGCAAACCTGGGACGACTCTCCCAGGTGGATGGGCTTGAGAACTTGGACTGGTTGTGAATTCTCATATTGCTTTTTGACACCCATGAGCCGGAACCTCTCCCTGAGGGATGTATACCAAAATCCGAATTCAAGGAATCCACAGATAGCCCGTCATAGACATGTGGTCTCCCAAACAGCTGGGATGTTCTCGCTGTATCGCAATTTGCTATCTATATCAGAAAGACAAGCATGCTTCAGAGTCTGGCCGCATGGAAAAGGCCGGCAGGCAAGAAGGATTTGAAGTCTTCCCTATGAAAAACTATTGCTGTACTAGTGGTGTTTGCTCGCTTGAAGGGTTCACTGACATGATGTTCCTATCCGAAGCAATTCTTGCAAACGAGCGCGGCGCTGGCGGTGCGTTGCTGTAGCGCCGCAGTCCTCTAGACAAGGATGGAGGGGGCTGTACGATGAGCTGCCCGTGAAGAAGCAGGAAGTGAATGCCGGGAGTGCTAGAGTACGAACCCAAACAAAGGAACCCTTACAACACTAGACACGAAAAAGGGCACACAAACTAGCGCACCTCATGTTGGAAATCCCTAGCTTCCCCTACACATTCCTATGTAACCTCTAGAGGTTCAGTGAAAAGAGTCCCTGAATCTCCATGCTGATAAATACCCTATATTCCCCAACATATACCCTATATAACCCCAATATCTACCCCCTATATAACCCCATTTTCTTTTCCATTGAAACCATCCCAAAGGAGCCTCCAGCGTGAGTGCAGCAGGCTGCAGCCACTCAGAGAGAAGAAGCAAGGCAGCCTGCTGAAGGAGCTGAACACCCCTTGCTTCAGGCATATTATAGGGGTAATATAGGGGTTATATGGGGTTTAGGGTATATGCATATATATATATATATGAGTTATATAGGGTTTAGGGTATAGGGTTTAGGGTTTAGGGTTTAGGGTTATGGTCCCCCTTAAGTAGGTAGAATATAGGGGTTATATTGGGGCTATATTGGGATAATGGAAAAGAAAAGGTTTAGGGTAGAGTCCCCCCTAAGTAGATAGAATATGGGGTATAGGGGGATCTTATGATAACATACCCAAAGCCACATTCTACCTACTTAAGGGGGACTACATACTGGAATTGCATTAAAGATCAGCGTATCATGTAAGAAGGCAGCTTCGCCAAGGTCGAAGACTTTAGGGTGTTTGATCATCACGGCCTCTCATCAAATGGTCAGAATGTCTGCAGGGCAAGCCTTCCTTGAGGTTACAAGCCATGAGGATTAACTTGCCCGTCCTCTGCAGTGCATACCCCCCCCCCCCACTTAGATCAATCTGTGCTTGGCACTTCTCAGTGGACCCGCTGGTCATCGGCATGCTTTTGGGGGGTTAGGGCGTAGGGTCTACCGGTTCGGCTTAGGGCTTGTGATTTAGGCTTTGGGGGCTAGTGGCCATGTAGGATTTCCATGTGAGATAGGAAGTGAGATAGGAAGATATAGGAGCTTATGTAGGTTTCAAACGACCTTCGGCCTTCCTAGCTATCATTGTAATTGTAGTTGTTCATATTGTTGTTGGCAAGCCGACGAGCACGTGCACGGAGACTGTGGCGGAAGCACGGTCACGAGCTCATGCGAGGATGCTCCGTACGGGAGTGACCCCAAATCCCGTATGCCAAGCGATCACTACTCAAACAGAAGCTGATTATATCTACCCGTACTGCAAGAACTTCTAGGTGTTAGAAGGCTGTTTGGGGAATAGCTCTGAATACAAGTGCTGCTCTTATCATCACATCCATTCATATTTGTCGTGTTCTGTTGCTGTGGTTCCACTGCGCATCCGGCCCCTTTTGTTGGAACTGTTGCTGGTTCAGCGATCCTTGGTTTCAAAGTTAGGCGACACTTGCTTCTGATGCGTACGTAAAAAACAATATTCAAACATGTGCAAAGGATTTTTTAATGTCCACGACATTCTCCCTCTCCAATTGGGCTGACACTGGGTAAACCCTCAACCTACATCTCTAATCCCAAAGCCCTGTGCATTCTTACATACATATGTCTCATTATGCAAACTATGCATCTATAGACAGGCTTGTGTTCCCTCCATATCTCCATTTATGCCCTAAACCCTAATCCCTTAACCCTAACCCCCAAACGCCCAAAGACCTCATCCCAAAACCCCTAAACCCTCACCCCTAAACCCCTAAACCCCTAAACTCCTCCCGTCATCTGAGACAAATGCCTTCATCGAGGCATCTGTCCGCTTCATCATGCTGGCCTAAGCTCACTGGTGCTTAGGGAAGGTGGGATATGGGTTACGGTTGATAAGGCAGGGACATCAATATATATATATATGCTGGCCCCCCCCCCAAGATCTACGTTTAGAGTGTTTTTTCGCCTCTCAGAGGAAAATCCTTCCAAAAATGAGAAATCCAGGAATTGAGGATTTCTCTTGAATTTCTAATTAAATTTTAAAAGGAATTCATATTGAGGAAAATCCTTCCAAAAATGAGAAATCCATTAATGAAGGATTTCT